AAGGCAGGGGAGTAGACTTGATGACCTTTCAAGGTCCCTTCCAGTTCTAGGAGATAGGCAATCTCCATTATAAAAAAAAAAAAGCAGATGAGGAAAATTAACTCCTTTTGATAGAAGGCAGCTGAATAGGTGAGAGCCTGCATGTTGACTTCCAAGTTGATTATCAGAGGGGTATCCAAGTTGATGCAACACTTAATTGCAATGAATCTAAACAGTTATTTTCCATTTAAAACTTCATTAATAACAATACCTAGTTCTTACACAGATCTTCCTAAGATCTCAAAGCCCCTTACAAAGGAGACCAATATAATTGTTGCCATATTGCAAATGGGGAAACTGAGGCAGAGGGGCACATGACTTAACCATGGTCACTCAGTAGGTCAGTGGCAGAGCTGAGAAAACAGATCTCCAGAGTCCTGGTCCAGTGCTCTATCCATCATACATAGCTTATTCCTGGCTGCTCTGAGCATAAACCAATCAGGAGGAGGTAAGGTACTTTGCATGTCACAGGGTCAAAGCTCTTAGCTTTAATGGATGGAACTTACTGCTTTGGACAAGATGGAGCACCTTGTTTCTTTCATTACTAAACATTAATTCCTTTTAAAATCCGACTCCTTGGGCTGGACCAGAATATGTTCTAGCCTGTGCGAAAAGGGCAGACGGGAGCGGTTTGCTTGTGAACCTGTGTGACTAAAGAGGGTGTGGCGTAGAAGTATTTCAAAATTCCTTTAGTTCTTTTGCGGGCAGTCACATGTTTTCATGAGTATCTGCGATTGGTTGCCGTTTAAAACTGAGCTGTCTTTGTTTGCTGTGTGGGTTTAACTAATCCGGCTTCTCTGGTTTTCAGCCAAGACTTGAGTATTCTGTGTGTTCTGAGTGTTCTATAATTATAAAACAAACATGGCCCAGTGAATATTTAAAAAAAAAGACATCCGTAACAGCTGTGATGTAAGGCCCTGATCTAGAAAATTGTGTGCGCATATTTCACTTTTAAATGGGATTTAGACCCACTAATGTCATTAAGGCTTGTCTAGCTGGGGAGGTTGGCCAGAAAAGCTATTGCAGAATAGATATTCCAAAATAGTTTCCCAAATTAAATTTTATTTTGGAATAATTCTCCATCCCCCCGGTATTCACTAGGGGATAAATTTGAATTCAGATACACAGCTTCATCTGATGTTGAATTTGGCACCGCCCGCACTACGGGAAGTCTGAGAGCACACTCTCCCTTCGACTTCCTTTACTCTTCGTAGAAGCAGGACAACCGGTATTGACGGGAGTTCCCCTCTCCGTTTGAATTAGCGTGTCTTCACGAGACCTGTGAGTTTTACCAAGTAGGCAACCATGAGGAGAGTGTGACAGGCCTTTTTCTACACTAGAAAAGGTTTGCTGGTGGTGGTCTGTCAAACCCTTGCAGAGTGCACACAGTTTATAAACTCTACCTGCAAAGAACTTTTGCTGGCATCAGTTCCTTTAATAAAATACGCTGGAAAGTGCTTTTTTTCCACTCATAAGTGACTGCGCTAGGGCTTTCCTGCTATAAAGTTGTTAGGAGTGTGATT